TGGCATCGTTCCTTGAAGTTTACCTATGCAGAGTTTTCCTCGCACAGAAAAGAAAATTCACGGCAGTTTTAAAGAATTGCCGTTGAGTAGTTTTCCATTTAAATAATGGAGTATGACAGGAAGTCTACGACGACGTCGCAAACCGAGTTATGTGACTGCCGACTTACACCGTCGATTTGCATCCTACCTATCCTTGCGGCAACGTTGCAACAACCTTACTCTAATAAGGAGTAAATAAGTATGTACAGCCCTCCTTCTGTGCATCGTCGACATTACAAGGTTTTGATGAAAACGGACGACCCAAGGATGACGAAATAATATTCACTTTAAAATTTCAAAAAGTGAATGCATGAATAAGAATGAGCGGAAAATTCACAGAAGAAACAGAGGCTCAGATTCTTTGAATTTTGCTATAAGAATGAAACCATTTTTGTTTACCTGACAGAGGTGGTGTGCAGCGCAGCGACCTGCCATTCAAATGCAGTGTTGTCATTCGTATCTTCCCTTAACTTTTAATGGTAGGGTCTGCATTATCAAGTAAAGGAGGTAAGTTACTTTTGAAGTTACAGACGTAATGATTGGGGTTCTAACCTTAACTTATCGTCCTTTTCATTTTTTGGTGTACCTACTTTGCAGTGTAGCTTACCCACCTGGCAAATGGTTGCTAAAACGGTTGAAGAAACTCAAAGTAAACGTTGCCGCAACGTATCAGCAATCTTTTCAATCAATTTTATTATTCAACTTCGATTTTTTAAGTATAGATATTCAAACCACACCAACCCATGTACCTACTTTCACGGTAAAATTAGCACAGACCAATGGTAAGCAAACGTGTGTAAGTAAGTAAATAAGGGCGTTCATAGATAACAATGATACCGCAACAAGTTGTACAGACGTGCAAACATTAAATCATCCATTCATCCCATAATAAGCGTCATTATTTTGAGACCGGTGCTTTCACGCAACGCAAACACGTGTTTACTGACTCGCTCTTACTCTACTTCCCAAAACCACTATTGCTCTATGACTCAACAACGAAAGAAAGTAATGGCAAACGACTTAGCGATGTGGCATTTCGGGAGATGAGAAGTGGAAATTCAACCTGGTGAGCTGCATTTGGTTTTAAGATTGCGCAACTATTTCTAATGCTTAACGGGACTCTAATCCGCATCTTGGAAGTGAGATCAAAATTTAGAGAAAATCTCCGAATATATAGTCCCTAGACCGGGAGCATTCAAGTTTCTTATCAGTGAGGGAAAATATGCACATGAAAACCATATCATCTAACCACAGCATCACCACCCCTAGTGGCGCTCACCAATTTGAATGTCCACTCATCAAAGATCACAGGCATAATTTGTCGGGCTTACCTTTGAGCAAGAATCCAACATGCATTTTAAATGACGCTGGTGTCCGTCGTCCGTTTCTCCAAACAAAGTAAAACGGGTGGGTTCCGGGTATGAAAGCACTAAGAATCAAAGGCACAGCACAATCCGCCGATACCATCGAAAGCGGCACTGCAAAAACGATTCACAAATCCGGACACTCGCATAGGTTCAAACCACCAACACCCGAGCATGAGCAAGAAACCGCACCACCCGAGCTAAAAATAGTCGACGTTGGGAACAGAACGAGGAACTCCGGGAGGCGAGGATGGAAACTGGACAATAGGCCGAGAGGTCACCGGATTTACCTGATGAGTTTACCTTTGCTCATTCGCACGTGCAGGGTGCAGTCGAGTGGGGGTTGAGGGTGGCCCGGGTGGGGGTGAAATTCGGAAAGGGCCGAAGTCAAGAGCGCATCGCCAGGCGTGAGAAATCCTAGATCCGTCACCTTTCCAACACCTTTCTCCGCTTCTCCTCTCGGCTCCGCCGGGGCGGTCAGCGCGTCGTCTCTCTCTCGCCCACGACCAACCACCGTCCGCTACTACAACGTTCTCTCCCTCTCTCTCTCTGCTTCGGCCTTCCCCTGATTTATTGATAGGTCTTCAAAAAATTCTCCAATCGCCCCGACTTTGCTCGCCGGAGATTCGGTGGTTTTAACCCGACATATCGGACCTCACCCGCTAGTTGCCAGTTGCCAGTTGCCAGTTGCTACGACGGGCGGAATAAGGCGTGATCAGCCTAGCGGCCTCAGTGCTAAGGTAGAACGCCGCACGAACATTCGAGAGTTGCCAAATTTCCCTTGATAAGACATGTATTTTTGACAATATTCATGCATAATTTCCCTTGAAATTTGCAGATATTCCAGATTAAATTGCATGCAAAATTGTCTGAAAATTTTGGAAAATGGTAATACACCGGAAAAAAATACATTGGACCTAGAGTCCAGACTCTTAAAAACATCGACAAGAAAAAATACTCTTGATTCAATCAGATTTAAGCTTAAATCAAGAGCCAAGCCTCTTAATTTGAGCGGCTTTCCTTTTGATTTAAGCTTAAATCTGATTGAATCAAGAGTCCTTTTTCTCGTCTGTTTTCAAGAGTCTGGACTCTAGACACAATGTGTTTTTTTTTTCCAGTGTAGCAATTTTCCCAGTAAATTCGGGTTTTATCGGAGGAGACTTGGCAACGCCCTATGGCTCATACGGCATTTCTTCCTTAGCACGGCAGTGCATAAGAGGTATACTGCCGTGGTAACGAATAACGACGTATGAACATTCGAGAGTTGCCTAATTCCCCCAGTATTCCTTTATTATTTAAGAAAGTTATGCATATTTTTCCTTTAAACTTTCAGATATTTTAGATTAAATTGCGTAAAAAATTGTGTGAAAATTTGCGAAACAAATAATTGCAATTTTCTCAGTAAATTCGGTTTTTACTGGAGGAAATTTGGCAACGTCTTAGCACGGCAGTATAATAAGTCTGTTTGCGCTGGTTAAAAAATTGTATTTTGATGGCTAAAACTTGAGGAGGAACGAAAACTAATGAGATCAGTCCCTAAGAGAAGTTCAGATCCAGAGAAAACGATTTATAGTAATTTTTGTTTTTGAATTAGCTCGTTTATTCAACTGATACTTCCTTCACAAGAGACGTTGAATGAGACGTGACGTTGCACCGAGTTTTTTTAAAACGCACTAAGTTTGAACCAGATATCATAGGTTTAAATTTATATCCTCCATAAGATTTAATGTTAAAGACCAAATTAAACGATTACTAAACGCCATTCACATGCCACGCTTTATTGCGATCGCCAAGATACCAGCTGCTCGATACTAGAGTCCCTTTATACCCAGAGTTACGACAACTCACTTTTGGTTGGGCCAGGATTGGGCTGAAAGTGGCCTAAAAAAAAATCCAATTCTGATTGGTTCTCGCTCATGGAGGCCGAAACGAGTGCACCAAGATGGCGGTACCTCGAATGTGAACAAGAATAATGAAAATATTACCTAATTGTGGTTTATCAAGAGTAAATTGTTATTTCCATAGGTCCAAAATGAAAATAGATTAAGAAATTATTCACAAACCAATCTCATTTTCTTTTTAATTGATCACTTTGTTGATGCTGTTGTTTTTGTGTGACAGACATCGCAGGATTCCTGATCCTTATCCCTCAATATCGTTCGTTTGGGTGCACTCGTTTCGGCTTCCATGGCCAGCCAAGGACGGCTGCCAGTCAGCTGATAATCGAGTTGTCGTAACTCTGGGTATAAAGGGACTCTACTCGATACGTGTATCGAGTCCCGATGCTTGCTGGGTTCGTTTTTCTGGCGGGAACGTATGAATTTTTGCATCTGATAGATGATTTTTGAGAGCATTTACATTGTTGGTAACTGTTTTTTAATCAATGCCGTCATTGGAGGAACCCATCATGTTTTTTCCTATGCCGATAAACGTCTTTAATTTTTACGTCCGATTTTTACATTTAAAACATACTTTTCTCGGCTTTGACTATTTAGCAGGAGAAAATTTATGACTAGATTAATTTAAAACTATTCGTAACTCGTTGGTTTCCAAAATTCGACTCAGTGTGTTTTTATTAAACTCTAATCACGCGATAGTAAGCTAAAACATGTTCTTTTCATCTTCAATGCCCTGGAATCAGCTAAACTGAACTAGAGGAAAATAACGTTTGCGTGTTTTCGAGAAAAATATTTTAAAAGTTTAAACAATTAAATTAAACCTCCCCGGCGTTGAAAATGTACAATCTATTCGAAGTTGCATTCCTGACGGCATTGATCGCTTTGTTTTGTGGAAAATTTTACTTTCAAAAAAATTCTGTTAAAAATCGCCAAAATGTCAATGTTTTTCTTTAAAAATATTTCATTCTCCCTCTCCGTTCATCGGAGGCGTCTTTTAAATAAGGAAATAATAAAATTAGTATTTCACACATTATTTTTTTCCACAATTTGCAGCTCGATTCGAAGTATGAACAAGCGGAAAACAAGTCCAAATCGTCGCTTTGCAGGGGGAGGGGTGTTTTGCCATTCCTACAAGGAAAGAGACATACATTTTTCATAAGTTACCTTCAACATCCCGAGTATGCAATCCCGCACTACGGCCATGCACGAATAGTTATCTCTCGACTCCAAGGCGCTAGCACAAAAATGATTACTCTACAGCTAGTCATTAGATTTTGATCAACAACGTTCGTGCACCTTAATGTCGACTGAGTGATGATAAGACGGGTGCATGGGAGAATCTAATTTCCAATTTAGTGGCAGTAATGGAAGGCTACACGCTAATGGCTGATATAATACTAGAACGGTCCTCATCCGGCTGAGTAAAAAAATGAAGATTTAAGCCCACAGTATCGTAAAGAAAGGTTTAGATAAAAAAAAAAAAACACGAAAATGTGGCCGGAACTGTAAGGAACAGGATAGTAGAATAGTGCTGGGTCCACTCTATTCTGCGAGGAAATCATAAGGCCAAAAGTAAAAGAATGGAATGACGTTAAGTAAGTAAAAAATATAATAAAGTAACAAAAAATAAAATAAAGTATAGAATTAAAAAAGATAAAATGAAGTAAAGTAATAAAATAAAAAAGTAAACAAACAAAAGTGAACAATACTTCCAAATCTAGTACTTATACGGTACCAAATCGTTTTAATTAAACTTTTTTATCGTTTTCAGCGTTTTTCTAATAGGGTCCTTAGATATTTTCACGTGCTTTTCATGTTCTAAACTCGAGTCATCCCAAAAATAATTAAATTTACATTTAATTTCATCGCAGCTGAGAATTGCTGCCACATAAACGATCTCCTTGCAGGTTTTACGCGTGAGTCCTTTCGACTTGAAGGCTTTGAAATCTGCTGGAATTAAAATCTCACCGCCGACCGCAACCTTTTGAGCGGATACAATTTTGATTACAAACGCAATGGTTCGATCCCCCTCCTGGACGGCAAAGACCAAATTTAAATTCGGCTGGTTGGCCTCGTCGAAGCTCAAATCGCGGCTTGTTCTCACGTAAGGGACACGGAATTTCGACGGCGGGTTTAACAAATTCACTCTGACAGAGTGTGCCAGTGCTATTTCGGCAGCGCCACTATTTTGCTCACCTGACACGAGCAACGTTACTAAAACCCGAGCAAATCTCTCCATGGTCGCTTCCGACCCATTTAAAGCTGTCATGGCATCGAATAATTCCTGTCTGTACCTAGAGTCAGCGTTGAGAGGTATTTGATCCGCAAGAGCCTCGTAGAATATTTTCGACATGTACCCTCTCACCTCCAAATTAGGGATCTTGAACACCGGCACCGATCCGCAAACGAAACCTTTGAAAGTCAGGTAGCCGAGATCGACTAAAAAGGCAATGAAAGTGTCTAGGATGTCGTCAGAACACTGGTTGAAAGCCGATGGTGGGCTTCTGAGGTTTTGCAGATGCTTTAAGCGCGCAACATGTTCCAGCGGAAAATCCCCTCTCTCGTGAGCTTTGGAAAGTGGAAATTCTCCCCGCTCAAAAGCCTCGATGAGTACTGGCCCGAAGCAGTCCGGCGAGAATGCAGCTTTGAAAGTCTCCAAGGATCCAAGTTCCAGCCAATAGGGTTTGAGTTCTTTTGACGCGCTGAACAAGAAGCTGAGCACCGAGTACGGGTTGTACGTACTGTTTTCCCCGAAACCTCCGTACCAAGCCGTAATACCGTCCATATGCTCTTCCATATTCCGTATAATTGACAATTTTCTCACCTCGGGCTCCGTAAACCCATTGAAGTAGGCAGGAAACTGGTTTTTACTGAAAAGTCGTGGGTTCTTCGTGTCCAGCGGGATGATGCTTGTGAGGAGCGTTTGTCGCTTCCGAAGAGTGTTCCCGGGTTTTTCCGGCTTCGAGCAGACATCGAAAAGGCTATCGAAGAAACCCCCCAGTTTCTCTATCACTTTGTCGTCGTACCTTTTCGGGTCGAAAATAATCTGACGTAATGCTGCGTCCACGTTGTCTGCCAACACGAAGACGTCACGCTCATAATGCGCGAGTAAAATTTTTTTCAGGAACGAGACGCCCTCGCTAAAAGAATGTGATCCCAGGTCTGATTTGGAATCAAGGAATTTATTCACGAGCTCTTTGTCCTCAGAAGATATTTTTGACGAATTGGAGAGGTAAAAGTGGCTTTTAAAAGCTTCCCTCAATGTCCCGTTCATGAGATGTCGTGTATAGTTGATTTCCTCGTAAGGTCCGGTATTTTCCGCGGCCAGGTCCAACCATATCACGGGGTGCTCCCCGAAGTTTTTGGTGAAAAATTGGATGGAATTCTTGTATACCAGTGGGTATTCACCCGTACTACGAATAGTATGGCCGAAAACTTTGTAATTCCTATGTCGACGCTTGTCGTTGATCATTGTCCCATTAGGCCGAACATCGATTCCCAAGAATCGTCTGATCATGTCTAGATTGGTTGTTTTTCCGAATGATCGTCGCCCGGTCTGTAAGGTGTTGGGAGAATAGACATCCTCCAAAAATGCCTCCGTTAGGAGCGACTTGTCAACGAAAAGCTCTGTATTCCGCAACACATCGTAAGTCTCGTAGGTTACTTTTATGGTTTCCAACGCCTTTAGACAGAATAAAAACAATATTTATCAGCCAATGCAAAAATATTAGTATCGCGGGATATGATTTTTTCAATGAAAGATGAAAGTTTGACACTTTGATGGGAAACGGACTTTTGTCAAGTAAAAAAAATGGGTCTCGTAAGATACAGTTTAAAATATTGATGTATTTCCAATGTTTATTATAGGTTCTAAAAGACAAGCATCAGAAATCTAGTTTCCATTTCTTATTTTTTTCCTTCGGTGTTTTACTCTTACTCCATACATTTTTCCTTTTTCCCATTTTTTATTCCGTATAAACCTCTATTTAGTACCTATAACGAACTTATGCCAGATTTCCAGTCAAATCGTCCTTTTTTGCATGGTGCTAATAATTGAAGGGGTGTGAGTCAGAGAAGCTTAAAAATGTTACAGAATCTCATTCGAAAGGTCTTTTTTTTATTCATTGATAGGTGGATGATTTACATGGAGAATTTCAAGAAAATTTCATCAAATCACAAAGAAAATCCATGAAAAATGTATAGAAAAATAATTATGACTGTTCTTAAGTGAAGGAATTAATTGTCAAGTAAAACTTCGGAACGTTGCACTGTAAGTGAGGGACCTTTCATGAAATACTTAACATTCTAAGGGGGGGAGGGGAGGGGAGTCGAGAAGAGCGTTACGACATTTTGCTCTAACATGTCAACGATTGGGACCTACGTCACAAAAGCGGCACGATGGGGGAAGGGTAGTTGCAAAATGCGGAATCAGACATAGCAAACTCTACAGACAGAGGCAAGCCAGACATAGTCAAACACAGCCAAACATAAAAATAATCACAGTTTGAAAATTTCACGAAATTTTACATTACACATATATGTATGATGGCGAAATTAAAAGACCTCATACATGATAAGAGAGATCGTTGCACCTATGGGGCTGCACACACGTTCAAAGTGAAGCTTCAGAGTGGTGGCTGTTCACTGTTTAGCCAAGTGTTGCCATCGATTACCCACAAAGGAGAGCGACTCGCTCTATTTTGACGCGTCGGTGCGCAACACTTGACTGAACAGCCAACACTTTGAAGCTTCACTTTGAACGTGTGTCCAGCCCTTATGAAATCTGTAAATACGCAAATCAGCTGATTGCGAGTCAGTGCGCCAGTCAGTCCACCAACACATCAACATCCCATTCGTTGGACCTTTTTTATTCATAAATAAATTCATGTGTTGGTGGATTGACCGGCACACTGACTCACAATCAGCTGATTTGCTTTTTTACAGATAAGTGCAACGATCTCTCTTATCATCTATGACGTCTTTCGATATCGCCATATATATGCGCGATTTAAAATTTCGTAAAAAATTCAAATTGAGATTATGTTTGTATGTTCAAGTTTTGTAGTAATGCTCTGATGATGGCGTAAGCGGGAAGGTACTTTGATAATTATAGTATTATCCACAACGCCTTTGCTCTATTTATCACCTTCTATTCTAGTCAGTTAACTGGCTTTGTCCATTACAATGGACATTACATTTCGGATGTTCAAAACTCGCACCAATTCAATGCGAGAACTCTAATTTGACGTATATGCTTTCATATGCATCCAGAGGAGGGCCTTGACAAGTGCATTCCTCTGTCAGAGTTTTTTAGAACTTATGTATATATGATCCTTAAATGTGGGCGATTTTCAATTTTTTCCTAGCGACGGAAGGGTCGATATATATGTTTATATTGATACATAGAGTATCACTGAAAAAAATAATATGCTGTTTTAGCATCTAGGATGTCAAAAATGTGCCTGGTGAGCCCAAGATGCTGCCTTTACTGCCCTCGCAGTTAACTATACATCCTATGAATGCAAATTCAACTGCGTGGAAATTCAAGGTAGCATCTTAGGACCACCAAACACATTTTTGACATCCTAGTTGCTGAAACAGCATGTCATTTTTTCAGTGACATAAAGTCGTAATGTAAATGGGACAGCTGGCGCCATGTTCTGCTCGACGAGTTCCGAGCCCGGTGTGCGCCGAGCTTCGGTCACTTTTTCGATACATGTTCGATCCAAAATGGCGGTAGGGAATACGTGGTGATTCCTATCTTCTTTGTTTACATCGGATGGCCGGGTACCCGTGTATCGCCAACAATCGATTATGTATCGAAAAAGTGATCCGGCGTCACACTGGAGTCTCGGAATTCGGAACCTGGAAAATGCGTAAAAGTGGCGCCAGCTCATCCACTTACATTACGACTCTATGTACTCTGTGTGTTGCTATTGCTAGAATCTAGAGGTCAATAAAATACGAGGCAGATAGTTTGGAGGCGATAAAAACATAATAGGGACATTTTTTCCTAGTTACGCCCTTCCAGCAGACTTTTCATTTCGTAATAGCGACACGTGGGTGGGAACATTACTTTATCATTGTGCTTCTCACCCATTTTACTCTAGGGAATTCATCTCTTCACATTCTGTATTTCTCGTCGTGACATAGAACCGATTAAAAATGACAGTTTTAAAGGTTTGGCCGAACTTTGAGCATGGGCTATTGACCACTTACCAAACATTTTGTAGCGGCTAGAACGAAGATCACTACACGTGGGAACATTTCAAAACACGTAATCTAAGTAGAACTAACTCAGTCACTTGTGATGTAGAACTGAGGAAATTTAAAAAGTGTTTCCCTGCCTGGGAAAGATGATAAGCGCACCAATCAGCATAAAAAAAAAATAATTTAATTATCCCACCATATTGCGGCGCGTGATAACAAATGTTTAGTTTTAACAAGACAGCCATGAACTTTGGATTCGGATGTTTTATTGAGAAACAAAGTAATATAAAGATTCCGCACTAATTGCCCTTTTTAATTACACCCGTCGCCAACTATAGAGTGCATTACCTACTATGTATATCTTAATCAGATGAAGACAAATAGGGGTCAAAGAATGTGAGCAAGGGCGCAACGAGAGTGGATATTATTATGCACAGTCTACTCGTTCTTTTCAATTTAGCGCGATCCTGTTGATCCAATTTGACTTTCCACCGACTGACTGCGCAAAAAGAGATGACGTGAATGAAGACGTTTGGTTGACGATTGGGGGGGGGGGGGGAGGCTGAAGGGTCGTACACAGAAATTCCCTTCATAATGTGAGTTGAGGTGGCTCTGCAGCTTTAATTTGCCACGACTTCGATTTATTGTAAATGGAGAATTTACAGGTGTCTGAAATTTTGTGAATTCCGTGTTTAAAATGAAACTGCTGGCAAAACTGAGTACGAGGATATCCTTGGTTTCTAAATTAAACAATTATTTGAGAAAATGTGACAAAGTAACCTGTTCTATTAAAATACATGTGTTTAAATGGAAAAGTGCAGCCAGATAACGTCACAAGGCCGCGCATTTTCTCATTTCTAGATCTATTTTTCTCCAATTTTCCATGTCAGAAAAAAAGTATGAAAAATACTACAAATTCAGCTCATTAGGCTCTCTCAAATGAAGCAATAAAATTTTTGTGTGCAAATTCTCAAATGTAGCAATTATAATATCGATTTGTGCCGTTTGTTTCCCTGTGCCAAAGGGTGATTTTGTGGATGAGCCAGAAATATATGTGGTTCTTGATTACAAATTACAGTCCCCTCTCTCCCTATAAAAGAACTTAATGTACGCCACGGTCGAAAATAAGCATCCTGAAATAGTAACACAGCACAGTAAATAAATGTAACGTTTTTAATAAACATTTTTGTCCTTATTTTTTCCATCACTTCCTTCTTGCGTTTGTCGCCAACTATTTTAATCGTGGCTCAGTGATGGCAATGTGACGGGACGAATTTGTTCATTGCAAACTCTTACGTGCGCTTTTATGCGTAAGAAATACTGCCGTGCTAAGGAAAAACGCCGTATGAACATTTGAGAGTTGCCAAATTTCCTTTGGTTAAATGATTATTTTTTAGGAAAGGCATGCATATTTTTCCCTGAAATTTTCAGACACTTTAGGTAAAATTGCGAAGAGCGTTATCTGAAAAATTGGAAGAAAAATGTTCATAAAGTCACCAGAAAATTCGAGTTTTATCAAAGGAAATTTGACAACGCTTGAGGGTTCATACGACGTTCTTCCTTAGCACGGCAGAATAGAGCCCAGTCTTGTCAGTGCCCATAAGCAAGAGGAACTGTGGACCTCAAAATCGTGAGCATCCTAGAGACTCGCCAAAGTTAAGGAATGTCTGGCAGTTACATTCCCAGAGACTTATTGTTTTTAATTAATTGTTTTTAATTAATGGTTGTCGTCATTACACAATTACTACAGGTCTCCTTGTTCTCCTTCTTCATTCCACTTTTAGTTTCCGCCGCATTTGAACGAGAAACGCAAAATAAAACTAGTTGACTTGACTATTCAGGAGATAAAACTGAGGAATGTCTTGGACTAAATTTCCGAGCACACCTCCAAAATAAAGAATGGTTAAACTGCAGTTTTATCCTCTTGGTGCAATTGAGCTCAGTTATATGAAGAGTTCTACATCTGTTTTTTGTTTAGGTGAGCTCGTTTTATTTAGATTAATTCATGAGGACCCGCAAAGCGGCCCTTGGAGAGCGCCAAGCGCCTTTCAAAGATTGGGCCACGTAGCGGCGAGGGGGGGAGGGCACCCCCCAATTTGGTGTCATTTTTAGTTCATTCTTAAATCGAAGCTTCATTCATCCAATGAGATAGAAGCTCGTGTTTTAACGCTGTTTCACTCGTAAGTTTTCCCGGGAACCAAGCGCAATTCAACACTCATCAAAGGGGTGTATGCTGTGTTGCGGTTTTATGCGACACGTTCCATCCGGACGAATTTAAAAATTCGTATTTTAGTCTCGAAGCGACAACAGTGGACCGGGGGTTGTCGAGAGGAGCGATCGAATCGTTCGATTGGCGCCGCATCAGTGAACAGGAGGGTCCGGAATCTAACTTTTCAAAGCCCCGGAAACGACACAACATCTGATTATATTTCAGCTAGATGAGGAACAAAATATCGGATGTATTCATGCCACGGGTTTTATGAAGACTGTTGAAGCCGTAGTTCTCAATCATTGGCGTATTCAGGACGATGCGCTGGAGATCCAGGAGGAAACTCTTCTGTTTCCGGCAATTCTCAGCTGAAATTCACTTTCACGAAAAAATTCGATGGAGACAAGAGCGCCGTTTGCGGAGAGGAGGGGAAAATCCCCCCTTTGAATTTTAAAATTGATCTCCTTTGAGGGGCAATTCGTCGCTTTCCAGATGAGGGAACTCATTTATTAAGTTGCAGAATCTCCTTTCATAAGTCACTTCACGAAAGTACTAGAGCGATTTCTCTCCGAACTTTCGTTGATTTATGACAGTCAATCGAGGAAAAATTGGAGATTTTAAATGAAAAATTTCCGATTACATGATTAAAGACGCAATAAATAAAATGTTTAAAAACAATCGAATTTTGAAGCAACTGAAAAGGGATGCTCAAACTCAGTCGTGCGAGTATACCTAATCCATGAAATTTCCGCAGAAACGCCTCTGCCGGTGGATCTGCAATCTGCAATACACATTCAGTGAAAGTACTGTTCCGTGTCTCAAACCGGGTAGAAACATTTTGTAAAATTTACGATTATTCCTTTTGACATACATATTTCAATCCACATTTTGAACACAAGTAGGTACCTCATTTAAAAATGTTGACTCTTTTAAAAGAATACTCCTGATTTCCTTGTTTAAACAAGGAAGGGATATTTTGGTGATTTTTTCGAATAACTTGGGAATTTTGAGTCCTTAACAATCACCTCCCTTATGACTACGCGAATTGGTTAAACCGCCAACTGATGAACATCTCTGTGTGAGGTGCCATTTTTTCATAGCCTGAAACACATTTGTAAGAAAAAAATTCGTGCAGTATTTCGGCGATGTGAATATTAACGGATTAAAGATTTTGCTCAACCAACGAGCTCCATTTGGTGTTATTTAAAATTCTTCTCCGCATATTTCTCTAAATCCACGGATGGGCGAATTAGGGAGTTCATAAAATGAATGAGATACTTATTCCAAATTTCGCTAATGACCAAATTCTTCAGCTGAGGTTTTTTTCTTGTAATGTCTGATTGCAAGTATTTTTAGCCTAAACTAAGGGGGCCGATAAATCAGTGAGAAACAGTTACCGCAACGTTTTTTGCCGTGATTTCTCCATTGTTAAGAAGTCTACGTTTTTTAGAGGAAGTACTAACGACACTGGAATTTTTCTTGGCTAATTTCAGGTGGCCCAATGAACATTTTGCACATAAATTATTGCACTTTTTAAGACGCGCTCTCGAATTTTTCAAAGAATTTAACTTTCCTTGAAAATGGGGAAAAGAAAAACAAGCTGGTATCTGCGATGACGAAACGATTGCCATTAGAAGGTTAGGAGGCGATCATGAACATAGGCGGATCCAGCAATTGAGCAACACCGGATTTCCTCCATTTAATCCAATGTTAAATAATCGATTCTTGTCGGATCACCTGGCCCCTCTGAGAATCGATACGTTTCCGTGGGTTTAAATGGAGAAAAAGCAATGCTACCAAATTGCTGGATCCGCCTATGATCATGAATTTGGGGCCTCTTCTGCCATTTGAAGTTTCTCTAATAGGAGGAGGTCTGGGGGATCTTCCCCAAAAAGGGAGGGGGTCCGAAGGCCCTCCCTCCGAAAGTTTTAAAAACGAATCTCCTTTAAAAACGCAATTTCAAGCATTTTTGGAGTCGATTTCTTAAATACTTACGCTTCAGAACAAACCTTTTCGAGGAACTTTTCGACGGAAACTTTTTCGAACATTAAGTACCCGCAGAATCAATTATTGGTTGTCTTCATGATAAATAAGTATCTTCTTTTCTTCATTTTACTGGTGAAGTTGCAAGAGGAAGAAATCTCGTTATCATCCTCGGATTATAGCATCTTATATAGAAGGGAGAAGTTTTATTTTCCCTGTCAAACAGTCAAAAAGAGTTACCAAATATAAAGCACAAATTTCCTCTCACACCCAATAGGTACCAACATTGTCAATAATTGTGGAGAAAAAATAAAATAAAATAAAAATTAAAAAAAGTTAAAGAAAAATTGTCGAAAACTTTGGGGAGTGGCCGCTCGATTCCCCCCCCTTACACGCACGTCGCACCGTCACTGTTTATAGTATGTTAGCTTTAAGAGTCTTTAAGGCCCTGGCACCCCGGACCATGGCCGGATTTACCTACGTGCCGCCCATGGGCCGCCCTCTTCTCATTCATTTTGAAACATCAATAAAAACCATCAAGTGAACGTGCCGGAGGGAGAAGGGTGCGTAAGACGCGTTCACTCGTGTTGGACACATTTTTTGCGTAAGCCCTGTCAACACTACTAGCAAAAGTTCATGGAACTTCGCGCGAAGGTTCTGTTCCGTAGACCTATCTGTGTGGGGACAAGGCCTTTCCTTTGTAAGAAATGAACTAAAAAAAAGAAAGAAAGAACAAACACAAATGTGGTTTAATAATTTTAACTTCCGCCGCCGTGCCGCGCTGACCACACTGTGTTTGGCGCAGTGCGTGAAGTATTCATGTAGTGTTGTAGGCACTGTGCGTTCCACACCGCGCCGCGCCGCGCCGACTGCTGTTGACCGTACTGTGTTTGACGCAATGCGTGAAGTATTCATGCAGTCTCGTAGGCGCTAGTATGTGTTACATTACATGCCGACCGCCGCGCCGCGTCGAGGGCTTCTCCTTTTCATCTCGAGTCCTCGTCATCATTTCTCTTTGCGCTGCGCCGCTCCAGGCCAAATTACGTGTTTGGTTGCTCTCTTAACTCAACTAATTAAAAGTGCGCAGTCTTTTGTAACACCGAAATACGACTAAATTAGAAATTAATGAACTCTCAGGAAATGAGAGATTTTGTCACCTTTTCTTGTTTGTAATTTATTTATGAATCCG